ATGGGACTTTATCCGGGGAGAGGAAATCCACGGCGAGTGACGTCTGGGAGTTTGGCGGCGTGCGGTTTCGGGGCTGTTTATGGGTTAGGTCATGACAGTGGTACTGAAGAGACTCGGCTAGAGGGTTTCGCTGCGTGTTCTACCCTCTGGGAGTGTATCTCACTGGCCGCAATTAAATCATAAAAAGGGATTAACATTATTAGCAGGCCGGCCCCGCAGATGCACGCTGCAAACCAGCTGTGCCGCATTCTTCTGCAGAGGAACCACGGATGCCGTTGTGAGTGTGGCCAGGTGCCAGGCAACTGGGGACAGGGTCAGGGATCGGACACGCCGGGCTGCACCCCCCCAGGAACCACGCCCCTTTGAGTCAGGGTGGGTGAAGTGGGGCGACCTGTGGCAGCACCCTCAGATGCCCACTCTGCCTGCCGACCAGGCAGACAGTGACCACATTTAGCCAGAAAGTTCACACAGGAAATTCACTTACTGTGTTTACACTGGCTCCACACCAGCAGCTCGTTAATATCCTAAAACTGATCAACACTAGTCATTCGCTTAAGTAATGGTGTTGACGCATGGCCCAGCCTTATCTGCTTTCGCATTTGCTACATTTAACAGACAGCAGTATGCTTTGAAATACCTCCGATTAATGCACTTGTCTAGATTCATGCTCTTCTCCACAGTGATGTATTGGGCTAAATTAAGAAAACATATTCTGACTTGTTTAGTTGCCGTGGTGAGAATGCTGTTTAGTATCAGCGCAGGGCGGCAGTGTCACTGCAGACGAGCAACACTGTGGCCTGCAACACTGCTAATCCTGTATGAAGAGTGTCCTGACAGTTCCTGTTCACATTTATGGCAACGCAGACCTTGGGGGGGGGGGGGGGGGGGGCATGGGTATTGTAACTCAGAGCAGGAAACAAAAGTGAAATTAGTCCTGGGGCGAGCAAAACAAAAAAAAAACAATCACAGGTGAAGACAGGCTTGAAATATGCATGCAGGAAGGCACTATGGCCTAGATGGTCTGATCTGTTTTGGATTTATTTGTGAATTTTTGTAAACTGTTGCATCTTGGTATTTGGTTTCACACACTTATCAGTGGCGGCTAATGAATCGCTAATGAACAAGCTTTGTCAGTTCAAATAAGGAAGACAGCCGAGCGTGGCGGGATGAGGAACCAGAAGCATACCCCCCCACTACCACCACCAAGAGGAGGGGGGGGAGGTGGGCTCAGCAGAATACCCATAATGCCACAGGACCAAGGAAACATGCCCTTCTGAATGAGACCAACACACAGGAGCCATGAAACATCACAAGGACCTTCCCCTGACATTTACATTTGCTTATTTAGCAGACACTTCTATCCAAAGCAACGTCCAATTGGGATTAAGAGCCTTGCATAAGGACCCAATGGCGAAATCACTCTGCCGACCCTGGATTTTAACGACCTTGTGATTACAAGCACAGAGTCTAACCCACAGAGTCACACCACTGCCCCAAAATATCTGATCTTTCAGTCAGGACAGGATCATCAACACACACCTTGGCCTGCAAAAACACCTCAGCGGTTAGACAACTTAGTAATCCTTTTAACCGCTCCCTTTAGTCGATTTACAAACCAAGGTCACATTTGGAGACCCCATTCCGGCTGGAACTGGATCAGCCCCTGAACGGGTGACATATCCGTGTTTCTCCAGCAGTAACTTTCTGAAGCAGTGTTTCTCGACCCAGTCCTCGGGGAGCCCCGAGACAGTGCACCTTTCCGCTCCCTCCCAGCTCCCAGCCAATCGAAAACGCCGAACACCTGGTACAGGTGTGTCGAGAGCTGGGAGGGAGCAAAAACGTGAACTCACTGGGCGACGGCATAGGAGTGAGTTTGATGTTGGGAAGGCGCACTGGTCTAAAGGATCCTCTTCATTTTTGTGGAGGTACTAAGGATGGACTAAACTGGAAGGCTTTAGTCACTCGCGGTGCCTCCGCCTTTCCCAGCAGCCCCTGTTTCGGAGACATTGCACATTCTAGGGGTTGAGTGTTTGCTTGGCGCAGATGAGTGTGTCGAAGCCACCAACGGATGAAAGGTTAATGAAGCACAGGCCCTTCGATGCTGTGGAGTAAACAGGATGCTGTACTACGGTACGCCACTTACCAGGCCCCGGGGCCAGGTGACTAAGGAAGCACAACAGGCTGCGCCGGGGTTGGGCAGCCCACAGAGGTCATCAGGGGCGCGACAGTCCGTGGCCGCGAAGCCGCTTGCACGTTCACCAGATGGGGCACCGACCGAGAAGTCAACGAGGCATTTTCTTACGGCGAGGCTGAGACTCAGAACAACGACTCAGGAATGCAGAGTCGCCCAGAACGTGGCCAGGAAATGAGCAGGACGGCCGCACACAGGGTGGACGTACAAAAAAATGCGATCTGCCCCGATCAGAGCACGGTGACCTACAGCTAGGGCGAATCCCCAGAGGGCGAAGCCCATTTGCCACCCGAATAAGCCAAACCGTTTCAGCCTCATGGAGACTGTATCCGTGCAGCAAAGGGGTTTTTCAACCTCCGGCAGCCAGAGGCAAAGTGCCGCTTAGGGAGGAAGCTGCCCCTTCAACTTTCAGGAGATGTATGAGACTCATGGTCCAGATGTTTCGTTTCACGCCCGAGCGACGCTCCAAACCTCCACGCACCATCAAACTAGCATGTGGAGGGGGGGCGGGGGAGGGAGGTGAGAGGGGTCACAGAATGGTGTCTTCATAAGAGACAGACGAGATGGTCTATAAGTGGATTAGATAAGTTGCATTATCACTGAGCAGGCAAAGCCATCGAAGGAACAGGGATTGTCGTGTATCCTGCTGGAACGCTAATGCATCTTCTCATCACTTTGCTCAGAAAGAGACATGAAAACTGCTACAAGTACAGGTGGCCTTGGTTTCAGTCATATTACATACAAGACAGAAATATGAAGAGCATCCTTCAGGCGTCTGCACAGAAACATCACGTCAATTCGACCGATACATCCAAAGCTATGAGACAGCAGTAAATAAATGAGACAGCAAATTAAAGAAAACACACTCATACCTAATTAGGAATAACATACTCTATGCAGAAATGTGTAATTTTGCAAGGAGCAAAACTTCTTCAGCGTCACATAGAGTTAAGTTTGGAATTAAATTTTAGAATCATGATGAAAAACACTGAGGTCTCAACACAACAAACAGCAACTAAAACAGTCACCCCTGATTCAAGATACCTACAGCATTCGGCGGTATGAGATACCTGCAGCATTCGGCGGTATGGTCTCTATTTCCAAGTAAGTTTTTCAAAAAACACCTCGTAATTCCAATAGCTAATGCTATCTGATTTCAGTCACTAAGTAACATCAAAACAAACACACCTCTTGTCTTCTCTCTGGCTTTTCCAGATTCTGAACTCCTACAAACTTATCAACAAGTATAATAGAAAAAAATTAGCGCAATGCAGATATGACTGGACTCTGAACTTACGTCCTTAAAAGAGGAACAAAAACAAGGAGACCGATGGATCTCGTCTACAGAGCTCACCTCACCTCCAGATAGACTCCAACGAAAACCTTGTTTTCGATTGAATGCTTCTAACCATAACATGATCAGAAAAAAACTGCAAAGCCACAGCTGCACCATGGTGACCAAGATGAAATGAAGTATGTATCACCCCCCCCCCCTCTATGATAGGCCCCAGTCTGTTTCACAGCCCAAAGGTCCTGGTCATATTGGGATGGCTCATCATTAAGCCATAACATTGCACAATGGACGTTATGCTGTTTTGGTAGATATCCTCTAAATTTAGAATTTTTCATGATCAACACTTTCCGACTAGCGTGAAATTGTACTATATTGTGCAAGATTTAGGTCTGAACCCTAGTTCAAAGTTTTCTTTTCTATAGTTGCTTTGCTATAAATAATAAGTTCTGTACTGCTGGGGGCATCTCTGCCATAATTCTTTTCAGTTTACACCTTAGAATAACACAAATATTTTACAATATTGCGATGCTTTGTTTATTTGCCCCCATTGTACAAACTAATGTCAGGAATTAGTTTAAAAGAAACTTTTTTTAATCCACGCAATAATTAGGAAAAGTGCCAAAACCATGACCTTTGAAGCCTGATGGATAGATAAAGCAGTTTTACTTGGACATCTTGAGCACGGAGCAGGACCCGGAGCCGGCAGTTCCATTTAAAGTCCCCGTCCTGCCGGGTGATGTAAGCGGCTCAGCCGAGCCTCTGCGCCGGCATTACAACTCAAAGCAAATAGAAACAGATCTATGGCCTGAGCTATGAAGTCATTTTCAGTGGCCATCTTGAGCGATGTTAAAAATAACTTGTTGGATATATTACGTTATGTGTGTAGAGGGAAAGCGGAGCGGGCGGTCCGGTTCGGCGGTTCGGGTCGAGTCCCAGGACTTTCGCGTCTTGCAGTAGTAATTAAGTGCAGCACGTTGATCTCGAATAGCTTATATATCATGGTAGTGATACATGTAACGAGTTTGTAAGCTGCTCGGGTGTCAGAATTACTATACATGGGCGTTTGCACCATTACACATAACAAGAATTTGCTCAAAGAGAAAAATCACAGATTTCGTTTTAATGCGAAATCTTATTCTAACATTAAGCGCGTATTTTGAGCTCAATGCTTGAATGAAATCGATATAAATTGACGAGTAAATGAAACAAACTGTACAAAAAGATTTACTGACGGGCAATAAAAACAGCAGGTCAGCAATGCAGAACTTTCTAACTTTAGTTATAGAAAAATAGGAATGCGGGTAATTCATGCGCACTTTGTGCAGTTGCTGCTTACTTAGCAACAGATGACTTTTACTTTATTGAACTCCATAACGGTCGCGATCATCCTGCTCGACTGCGATTTAATTAGCCTTCGATATTAAAGTCACTAAAAATAGACGTGGTCCCGCATTAGTTTACCGCTTAGCGAAACGTAGAAGTAGGTAAAGCCGGCTGACCGGCCGTGTCACTCACCCGCTGAAGGTCAGAAAGTACGAAGGAGAGCTCCGGTTCGGCTCGGTCCTGCTCGGCTCCGCGGTGCCGCCGCTCGCTCTGACGCTTCTCCCCGGCTGTAGGATCTCCCGTAGGAACGGCGGACAAGCGTCTTTTTGTGGCTCCTTGACAGCTGGAACCGGCTTACCGACGCGACATGTCTGTAGCGCCGCGGTCGCTATTTGTTTTCTTGCAGCGCTCCCTGATGCTGTTACACTGTAACTTGTGCTCCAGTCACCTGTACGCGCTCATGACATTATCGCCCACCGATGACTGTGTTTAGGCTGCATTGTGGGAAATGTATTCCCCCCCCACCCACTCCACACACACCACACACACCACACACACCACACACACCACACACATATATACACACAAACAGACACACACACACACACACACAGAACCAGACTCTCTCTCTCTCTCTCTCACACACACACACAGAACCAGACTCTCTCTCTCTCACACACACACAGAACCAGACTCTCTCTCTCTCACACACACACACAGACACAGAACCAGACTCTCTCACATACACACAGAACCAGACTCTCTTTCTCTCACACACACAGACGCACACAGAACCAGACACTCCCTCTCAGATACACACACAACCAGACACTCTCTGTTTCTCTCTCTCTCTCTCAAACACACACACACACACTCACACAGTACCAGACTCTCTCTCATTCTCACACACACATATACACAAACACACACACAGGAACACACAGAAAGATATAGCCACACACAGATACCTACACAGAAACAGACACACAGGCATACAAATACACACAGGAACACACTCACATATATAGACATGCACAAATACAGTCATTCATATATACACCAACACACAGGAACACACAGAGACATACAGGCACACACAGATACACAATGCAAAGACTCTCACACACACAGGAAGACACAGACACACACAAAGATACACCCACAAACAGGTACACACAAAGATACAGACACATATTTAACACAATACACACAGATACACAGACTGACATATACACATACACACACGTCACACTTTTTAGTCATCATTTCTCTGTGTTATACTTATTTTTATACAGACATCGATGTATGTGGTACTGTGTATTTTCTATTTTTGTCTTTTCTGTGGTGGTTTAATGTGCATTCTGTAATCGCAAACAATGTTCTCAGGGATAATACAAGTTTTCTGATTCTTAACAGGCACACAGACACAGGGACACACACACACATTGTGTGTGTGTGTGTGTGTGTGTGTGTGTGTGTGTGTGAGAGAGAGAGAGAGAGAGAGAGAGAGAGAGAGAGAGAGAGAGCTGGAGTGTCCCGATTAAACTGCGATCTTAAAGCGGTTTCTCCCGTTCCGCAATTTGCGCAAACTACCCCCTCACCAAAGGCGCCCAGGTGCAACCTACCGGAAAGCTCATTCTGCCTGAAAGACGCTTCATATGCTTACCAGAATTTATTTGCATTGATGAAAGTAAGGTGGCCTTGCAGCTAAGGTCACAGAAACCTATGCACTGTGGCGCCTTCTTTAACTAATGTTAATATGTGAGGTTACAGTACCGTGTGTATAATACACTGATATAGATATTCAAAGTGTACTTTAAGTACTTATACATATGTGCGATATAGAACAGTAAGTATCGTAATATAGTAGTGATGGAAGAACAGGTATAAAAAACAGCAAGGTACGGGATTATGGTGTGCTGTCGATCACTGCCGGGTGACTAACAACGCAGGACAGTCCCAGCCACACGGCTGCTTCATACGCAGAGACATGTGCTTCTTTTCTCCAAGTTTCTTCACACCAGGGTGCACATGTCCATCAAAATAAACACACAGAAAAGATTCTTATAAAACCAGCGTTACGGCTCTCAGATCGCCTTCGCTTGGTGTTGAATGTGAACTCGCGCTCGTAGCAAAAAGCCGACGCACTCGAAACCTCACAGAACGTAGGTGAATGACCCACAGGCTGTCTGTCTTTGTCCATTATTGCTTTGTTCTTATTACCCTTCCGTAAATCATACAAGCAATGACTCACCGATGCAGTTACAGCGCCTACCACACTCCACAATGAGCAGAAACACCGGCAAGCCTCCATGGGCTGTTACCAAACGTCTCCTCAAAGCCTCAGGCTAACTGAAGGTGCATACACAGTATCACAGTATATTAGAAAATAAACAAGGATGTAGCTTTGGGAATGGACATGTCCTTACAAATATTGCAGGAGTACCATGTGTGTTTCTTTGGGGGGGGGGGGGGGATTTGGTCCCTACCAGCGCTGAAAACAAACCTACTCTCCAGAAAAGGACCCACATTATATTAACTCTGAAAACACTGCTGTCATGTACTCATTGGAGCTAAATAATTCCCATATACTGTACATGTGGCAGACAAGGTATAATGTGATCAGTATATCTATTGGTTCAGACGAATTGCCAGTCCTCCGTACTCACAGCCTGTATAGCTAAATTAGACACACTTCCCCTTTTTTTCACAACAGATGGTGCTCATATCCTTACCGCCCTTTTGTTTTAGTCGACGACAAGTAGCTTGCGCCACACTTCTCCTGAGTGTAAACTTCCACCGCCTGGCCGCCCTTTAGTAAGGGCGTCTCGGGCTCCCTGTACTTATTTACACTGCCCTTGGCATCGTGGAAATTCCCAGCCGGTTTTCCTGAAGGACACCCCAAGTGCACGACAGCAATCACCGTGCATTCAAAATCAAGATGTCCTGTTACAGCGATAGGGTTAAAAACAAGTTAAAATGTATCCAGGAGTAGAGTATGCAAGGAACACATGAAGATGGTCCTGCAGGGACTAAAAAAGACCTGCCACGCTAACAGAGAAGGTCTTCTGTTTATAATTGTGGAGAGTTCAAGCTACAGTTCATTCACCACTAAGACAATGCGATGTCACAGACTTCAATTTTATTCAGTGTTTCTGTGCACAACACTTACATTTCAAGATCACACAAGTACATGGACAGTTATGACCAGTGGGGAAATAAGCAGCTTTTAACACAAAATTATTCAATCTGGAGGGCCAAAAAAATAAAAGGCAAGGGACCTGGAAACTCAGGGGGGTGGGGCTGATCACTCACTCTGGTCAAACATTCACCGCATTTCCTTTTTACTTGCGCTTTCCTCAGAAACAGAGCAGAAACAGAGCAGCAATCTGTATGGAAAAAAAATCAGCAGAAATGCACCATATGGAGAAAACACTCAAATGGACTCAGAACGGAGAGTTCAGCACAAACTCCACAAGATCAAAACCTGTTGAATGCACCCATATGCATCATACACACAACATGCATGATTTCTTTTTTAAATCAAAACCACCCAATGTTTCAGTATACTGAACTAATGATTTTAAGGAAAAAAAAACCCCTAAAACCAAAGAAAATTTCAGGGCATATTACAGCTCTGATACTGCAATTTTCTTGTCCTCCCAATCAAATGGCAGCACTGTGAATCAGGGAATTGGGAGAATAAAAGCAATTAAATAATGGACCCACTAATTCCAAAGTAAAATCATTATTTCTGTGGCCCCCAGTAACCCCTCATTCTGCACTATTTGACAAGGATATTCAAAGCACATTGTACCTCACAAAACATAAGTAACTGTGGTTTTATTTCCACCTTTACTGCTCTCCCAAAAACAAAACCCCCCCCCCCAGTATAGTCAATACAAAATGTACATCTAATAATTAAGGAGCAAACCTAAAAAAAATAAAACATAGATAGCGCTACTATAAAACCTGTCTCAAGCATTCCTGGATCTAACTATACATCGCAGCCAGATGGCGCTCTAGACTTGGCATCCCACATTAACATCCCACATTAACTCTAATGCTATTTGCTGCAGACAGACCTCATTTTCCTAAGGGTCTTGGGGCTTTGCTTTAAACACTAAACCGCAGTCATTCTTAGCCATGCTTCACATAACACATTTAGCATTCTGCATGGAGCAGACTTAATCCTACATCACGTTTGTGTGTGTGTGTGTGTGGGAGGGGGGGGGAAAACTAGCAGAAGGGAGGTTGGGGGCTTAGGTGCTTGTGGAGGTGGGGTATTGTGGGTGCCACCAGTCGATGAGACGCACACTGTGCACCGGGTCCAGCACCACCTGGACACCCTGCTCCCCACGCAGCTTCTTCCCTTGGAGGACAGGGGAGTCCTGGAAGACCAGGCGCACGCGGTGGTGCCTCATGTCCGTGCTCACGTTGATCGTGAACTACCACGAAAAGGAAGTGAGAGGAGAGCCTCAGCAGACATTTAGTTTCACAGCACGTAGAGGGGCTACGCAAAGGAACAAACGGCTTTCGATGCAGAGTTTTTTTTTTTCCTCTTTCCAACCTATTTACATACCAGGGAGAGTGTCATGCCCATGACAACAGAGGTGAAAATGAAGTTGAGCGTGGTGACTTGCAGGAGGTAGCAGTCCGAGTCTGGGTTGGCGTGGACCTCTGCGTACTGCCTGGGCAGTGGAAGCACCGACCTGCAGCCATTCTTACACTTGGCAGGCTGAAATGCAAAAAATCATTACGACTTCCATCCATTTAAAGCATCTCCCATAACCACTCATACAGTACAGGGTCACAGTGAGCTTGGAGCCGATGCCAGGAAGAATGGGGGCAAGGCCTCACCCTCAGGCCAGGCGCGCGCACGGGCGCGCGCACACACACACACACACAGGGTTACAATCACAAAGACCTATAGATCCCAAATAACTGAACTATGTCTCTGAACTGCAGGAAAAAACCTGAACAGCCAGGGAAAAGCTGTGCAAATATGGCGAGAACTCCTTACGGACACCCAAGTGCATTCAATACTCTGCCAGGTCACACCTGAATTACCCACCTTTTTCTGAAACTTGAAATTAAATTCCCACATTGGTTCTGGTCTATTTCCAACAATCTTCTTTATCCAAAATAGCAAACACTAAAAGAATTGGGGGAGAAGAGATAAAAATATGGTAATTTTTATTAAATTACACAGTACCAAAATAGCTTTCAGGCTTTAAAAACAAAAGCTGACTTCCAGGCCCACCTTGGAACTGAGGAGTGTGGTGGGGGTGGACTCAGGGAGGGAGGGGCAGGCAGACACGCGGGAGCTGAAGGGCTCATACATGTGGAAGAGGGAGCGGATCACGCAAGCACGGAGGCAGCGCATCCTCCCGATGGAGTCTGGCTGCAGGCGGGAGGGCAGCTGCACGTCCAGGGTGTAGTGCCTGACGGATGGGAAAGGCGAGACCAGCGCTTTTATATATATAAAAGTATATCTCACACATACATACATACACACACACACACACACACACACACACACACACACACACACACACACACACACACATATATATATATATATATATATATCTCGTGCCAAACACCCAAGGTACTAAGACCGTATGCATAGTGCAAACAAAGTAAATGTAGTGCAAACATTTTAAAAAGTACATGGTAACTGCAAGAGAACTTTCCTGCAAAGCAAAATGTGATAATAAATGTGACACTCACGGCAAACACTATGATCTCAATTTAAGAATCACCCATTTCATGAATCAAGTTCCTAAGCGCGACAAACTGCACCTACAGGGCACCACTGACAGTGTTCAAAGCAACCGCAGGGCATTAATCATTTGTTCAGCTGTTGGTAGGGACCCCTGCACGAGACCTGGATGGCTGCAAAAGAAAAGCCCCCTGGCTCTCTCACCTCCGGTATAATCTGGTCCAGAAGGCAGCAGTGCAAGTCACAGTCCAAGCATTCCTGCAGATCAAAGCAAAAGTGCAGATATCCTCTGGACGGATGTATGATGCCAGTAACAGCCAGATGTCGATGGGATACTCTCGTCCTTCGCTACATCGCTGGCTCTCTGTTAGTGTACAGAGATCGGTTCTCAAAATGGGCAGTGCAGAACAGTCTCCGGGACTTAATCACCATCTAAGAGGCCGATCTTGGCTTATGGTACCCAGATCAACATTAGGTATTAAAAAGCAAGCACCGATGCAGGGCACACTTTTGAGCTTGCCTTTCAGTCTCTTGTTCTTCTTTTTGCGCGTCCTCTTAATGTCGCCGGCCCCATCCTCCGGCTCCGCCTCCTCACTGCTATCACAGGGCTGGCAGCTGACACTGACCACGGATGATAACACCTCACGCACGGGGCCCTGGGACGCTTCAAGCCCACAAAGCAATTTCACTGCGGAGTTAGAAAATAGCAGGGGTTACATGACAGGGACAGAAATCTAGCTTTTAATAATCAGATTTAAAGTGTAAATATACAAATATATTATATATTTAAATATATAAATTTAAAATATACACACACACAAACATCACTGTACATTATTTTTTCGACAGGTATGTATATATTCTAGAGCTATTTCTAGTGCTTTTGGGCTATTTTGCATTTGATGATTTAATGTCAAAGTGCATTTCACTGTCTGAGTACATGTACATTGTGTAGTGACAAAGCTGATTCTAAACTAATATTTCCGTAACTATGCCCTGGAAATGAAAGTCAGCCTATTACAACTAACATAAGGTACACTAACCTAGTACAACACAGAGTCGCCAGCTTATTACTTTTGTTTGGTTCAATTTACCTTCTTAATACAACTAGTCGCCAGCAAAATAAATAAATGACTCGTTTAATCGTTACCTTCTTTTTCAATTGCGTTAGCAACAGCTTTTTTCACTCTTCCGGACTTTACAATGGCTGGGTCGGAATTGGCATAGTCGGACACAGTAACTGCAAGAGAACCAAAACCGTTTGCATCTAACTTTGTATGTAACATAAGCTATAAAACATATATAAACTCCATACACAAAAATAAACCCACAAAAAAATTAAAAATGTATTAGGAGACGAACTGCTTTAATGAAGAGGGCGTGTCCTTCAGCGAAATAGTACCGGCCGACCAATTAGCCGGCTAGCATGCTAACTCATACCTGATTCCGAGCAAACATCCTCGGGTCTGAATTTCAGCCGTTTTCGGTTCCCTTTCTTGGGCATGACGGCAGTGGGCATCTACGTCCGCTTATCGTGACCGCGGTTCCTGCCATGTCTCAAAGACAAGCAGAGATAAGCTGAAACGAAAAGAAATAAATGAGAGATTGAAATAGGCTCCTCCGGGATCTTCAGCCATCATGGAACTGACGCTGAGACCTCGTGTCAGATCTCGCGAGATTTCCCCATCGCATTACGTCACTTCGAGAGCAGCCAAATCTTATTAGACAAATTAGGCAAATAATGAAAACCGTCACTTATTTAGACTTCCTGAAATGTATGAATGGTTTTATTTTTAGAAATGCCTTTTGGCTCGTAAGTAGCCAATTTGGCTTTACGATTTTGAAGAAAGCACACTAATGTTTAATTTATGATTTTGGGATAATGTTTGTAACAAAGCATCCATTATCTGCATTACTTTCAATTTTACTGACTTCAGTTTCCTTAAGAATCAAGGAGAGAATATATATGTTGGAATAAAATATCTAACAAGTCATGCGCCCGTAATACAAGCTACATTTATTCAATTAACATTAGAGTTGCCAACTCTCACGCATCTGGCGTGACATTCACCCCCTCAGACTCTCACGCGCGCGCATATATATATATATATATAATTATATATATTATATATATATAATTTCAAATACATTTACTATAAAATAATACAGCGCTGCCTTCTGTTATCCCCATCCTTTGTATTAGCTTTTATTTCGCAAAGATCGCAAAACGTCGTAGTGAGTCTCTGTGTAACTGTTGGCCTGTGGAGGTTATTCTAGGCGCGCCCGTATTAGTCTAGTTTTAACAGCTGCCGATTTTATTGATTATTTTTTTATTTAAAATCATTTACCGCCAGGGAGCGCTGCGTCCGGTTCGCAGTCTGTGATGACTGTGCTCCACAGTTATGCTTGCGTGTGGTGCTGATGCGGGGACTCTCGCCGTGCACTCTCACCACTGTCCGCGTGCTCGTTCCCGCGTCCCTTGCGCGCGTCCCGGCCGCGTGCGTGGCGTGCTCCGGATAGCAGGCAGCCGGGCGGCGTGTCGTGTCCGGGCCACACCGGTGAACCAAGCGCAGTAGATGGTGTCATTGTATGCAGCAGAGTCGCTGATTTCGTAAGCGCCGGTGACAGCGGCCAAAACGAGATCGTGAAGCGAGGGAGGAGTGTAGTTTTCGGCATGGGAAGGAGGGCTGGCAGATGGATTTAGAGAGTTCGCCGCAAAAAATATTCATAAAATAAGATTGCATTTCACCGTTCTATTAACAGGCGCCTTAATTGCAACTGGTGGGTGTTTTCTGGAGGAAGATCCGGAGATCGGAGCACCCAAACCTGGAAAATGCTGTTTTCGGGAGGCTTGGCTGCATCCTCCGCTCCTTGACTGATAAACCCACATCAATCAGTTCAGTTTCTAGTTACAAATGAGCGGAGGAGCGAAGCGCTGGGCGGGTGGGTTCGCTAAAACAGGAGTCCCTGCACCGGATCCGGAGGAATTAAGAGTCATTTTCACAGCACTGAACGCCTCGATCGGCGCTGATTGCGGGAGCGATGCTTTGATGCAAATTGCACGGCACCCCAGGGGAAGTTTTTTTCTCGGATGGGCAGCGTTAATGGATTAGAGAGTTTTGTACCTCCGGTAAAGCTTCATCCTGCGCGATCTGGACGTTTTCCAGAATGATGTGCGAGGTGATGCCCACCATCAACGAGGGGGACGCCATGAGCTCCCAGGGGGGCTCCCAGAACGGCTCGGACCCGGACGCCAATTTTGAGCAGCTCATGGTCAACATGCTGGACGAGAGGGACAAGCTCTTGGAGTCGCTACGGGAGACCCAGGAGACCTTGATCCAGTCGCAGACGAAGCTGCAGGACGCCCTGCACGAAAGGGACATCCTTCAGAGGCAGATCAACTCGGCTCTACCGCAGGTGAGCTGCTCTGCTCCGACCGCTTTGGAGAGCCGCTCCTGATTAATGGCACCGTATTATCGGCTACCCTCGCAGGGTCGTTAATTTTTGTTTGGAGACAATTTATATACATAAAGTTTCGATTTTTTTCTGTTCTCAGTGATAAAATATATACTGCCACTGGGAAGATACAATATTTAACACATCTAAACGTGATATTTCTAATATAACCTGTGGCTCAGTGTAACTACAGTAACAGTAGTTAGATATGGAAAGGGTAGTGTCTGGGGATTAAAACGTTTGAGTAGCAATAAATTAATAAATTCTAAATTAAGTTTTTATATTATTGTTCTTTTTCTAAAGTCAAGTCACTGGTATGTATATTCATGTATGCATGCTAATTAATTTTTTGCTGGTGTATTAATTTCCAGGAGTCACCTGGAAGAATCTGTGGTCATTTGGGTTGTGTTGAATTTTCTTTAATGATGAAATGATGGATTGTGAACTTGGGTGGAAGTTGCCATGTTTCTAAACGAGATGGTCCAGCACTGAAACTGAAGGTACTTGGGTCCTTGTACTTGCGTCTGTCTCTTGCAGTTGTAGTCAACTTTGCTCACGCTATATGCTTCTGGACTCTCTTGACATCCCCATTAGCATCTGGCTTACTTCGCAGCGGAGGTCTTGGAAATTCTTGCTGATCATGCTTCCTGACGTCACGAGGCCCATGGAGCCCACATCGTATGAATGATCTCGCCCTGGCTCTTCACAGCTGCTAAAGGCACTCCTCCCTTGCGGGACTTGAAGAGGCCCTGTCTGTTTTACACGGAGATGGCCATGGATAATAGAGATCCCCCTGCTGTGTTATTTTTGGTAGTACCTCGGGATGGCCCCTTTATGTAGAAGAAGTGAGCATTTCATTTGGGATGTACCATGCGTGAGTGGTAAAGGGGTTTAGATATTTCTGTGCGACACACTGTATGGACGATTCAAGGTTCAAGATTTTATTATCATAAACACAGTCAACACTCAACTATGCAATGAAAATCTTACTCTGCATGCCCTGCGGGCCACCAGTAAATGCAAATTGATCACAAAACACAAATAGACATTACGGTAGCGTTGGACGACCCTTGTACATTTAAAACATGAGAATGATCTAAAATGACTAAAGCAGACAATAAAGAGCGACAGTTGTGAGAGAAACATTAAGGGACGTCCGGCACAGTGGATGCCATCTTTCTGAATCTTTGTGGAAGCTCTCGGGTGTTGCCCTGCCACCTGTTTGTGGGGGGGCTTTGGGGCAAGGATGACGGCTGATTAAAGCTCTGGATTGTGCTTCACTGATCCTCCAGGTCCTGTGATCCCCTCCAGGTCACCTTCGCCTGGAAGACATCAGACACCCCCATGCTTGCCGGCCAGGTGTCATGCCTGCGGGCGTCTCGAGCTGTTAATTGTGACGCCTTTGGGCGACGAGGTTCCCCATGGTGGTATCTCCTTGGCAACGCACATGTGTTACCACGGCTCACGGCTGAATGTGAACTTCACTAGCAGTGAGAAAAGAAGCCCAGGTAAAGGCGAGGTGCTCAGCCTCATATGGGTGAAATTACAGTTTCGCATGTTATCTGTTTATTTTTCTGCAGAAGAGTACGATTCTGGGTGTCTCACAACAGTGCACGCCATCTCTCGAGTAAGAAAGGATTAGCGATTTGGTTACTAGAAGCCATCAGGCTGTAGTGAAGCAAGACACTGTAGCTTGTGCTTAGGAAGGCAAGCCTGATAGTCCCTGGGGGTGCAGCGACAAAATGGCAAGCTGCAGAACCTCCCTTCAGGGTTAAACGGGAGCTTCTCACCGAGAAAGTGTCAGCTGTCACCTTTTCGAGGCACCCCAGCTAATGCAGCACAGCCTAAACAGGCTAAAGGCCACAGATGGCTGGGAACGGCTCTGAACCGAAAAAAAAGCCTTATTAAACGAGGTTTACAGAGATGACGAGTCGAAATGGAGACGTGCAAATTCAAGAGTCTGTCAGAACAGATGGCAAGGCGATGTGACCCTCCATGTTCTTCGATTGTTCTAACATCGATACCAACCGGAAATGTGCAGCTCGCTCGCCTCAGCCTGCATAGGTGTCTGATCCCGTCACGCTAACAGGTGCACCATGCCCCGCGCTCCATCTTTGATGGCTGACACAACTTCCCTCTCTTTAATCGCCCGCTTTAGCAAAAAGGCCTGTTTGACGGTGAAGCTTAACACGGGGCGATGATTAATGCTCCTAAGCGAGGCGTCTCCTCCGGGCGGGAGAACGCCAGCGGAATGCCGGTCTTCACGTGCCTCTAGTAGCGTGTTGAATTCTCATGACTGTGACCCAGAACTGTCGGCTCCCATGAACACGCTTAAGCCAGACACTGGTCTCTCTGGGAAGGCTTCAGAACTCCAGGCTACATGCGGCAATAAGCACGTTAATTAACGTGGAATATGGCAGAGGTCCACGCTTCCTTCGTCCAGAAAACGAGAGCTTGTTGACAAATGTGTAATATGCTGGGTACTCGCGTCTTGTTGAACACATTAGGGTCAAAATAAAGCCCTCACAAACTCGACCATCAGCTTCCAGTTCTCAAGGGCTGCTGGGATTACATTTCCATTTAATTTCCAAGCTCATGCATGTGGCAGCAGTAATTTATTTTTGGGTTGTAAATCTCATCGGCGGCCATAGGTGCGTGTCAGTCGCTAATTGAGAGCTATTTCCTGTAGCCCTTGAAGTCTGAGGTTCCCGCCTCCACCCCCCTTGGGTGTAGATATCATCTGGAGTAGGTCCCTCGTAGAGGCACCAGTGGTCTGTTTGTTCCCCCGGCTTCTTTTGGAGCTGGCGGTGGGGCAGATGAGCAGAGTGGGTGAAACTCAGAGGTGCAGCCAGTATCCTGGCATGCGTTTTAAATAATGCAAAGCAGAAGGGCTTTTAATGATGGGATTTAATTAGAGGGATGTAGCAGTGATCTACCATGTCTCTGCCTGCTGTGAAGTGTGCCGGAGTTGATCGTTTTTCTTCACATTTCTTCCAAGATTCTTATTTGAGCCTTTTTTGTGTGGCGTTACCTAAAGGTACCAATTTTTGTACCATGTCTTTAAACAGTTCTCTGCAAAAAAGGGTAGCGCCACAGACGGGGCCGGTCTTGGAGGCATGCAAGAGTGAACGTGGCTGCAGCCCCAGGTAACTTAGAGCAGAATGACAGACGTAGCCTGTCCCCTGCCAGGAAGATGGGACACTTAGGGTTAGGCTTAGGCTTAGGCTTAGAGAGACTTTCTGTTAAATCCCACATGAATTACGGTGGATTTGTTTTTATCAACGAAGGTGCTCTAAATGCAAAGTTGAAAATTTCATGCCATAAATGTAGAAGTGAAAATCAGCACTCGGAAGTGGCCCAACTGCCCGCATGTCATAGTGCTCCACCTTCTACTTGCTTGCCTCATCTGGCAGTCCGCAGGTCCTAGTGCCCGCCAAGTTCCCTGCCTACCGGGTCCTGGTACCCCTACAGTCTGCCAGCCTTGTCTGGCAGCCCGCAGGTTCTAGTGTCCCCCAGATTCCTTGGGTACCTCACCCAGTGGTCCACTGGTCCTGGTGCCCCCTCCTGCTCCTCGTGTACCTCACCTGGCCTGCGGGTCCTAGTGCCCACCTAGTTCACCCTGCTTCACCCTGTGGCTCATTGGTTCTAGTGAAAATCGAAAATTTCATGCCAAAAATATAAAAGTGAAAATCAGTACTCAGAAGTGGCTCAACTGCCTGCTGGTCCTATTGCCCTCCCTTGTCCACACTTGCCTTGCCCAGCAGCCTCCAGGTCCTAGTGCCCCTACCTTGTTTTCATGTACCTCATTGGGCAGCCCTATGGTTCCTGATGCCCCCAAGTGCCTGACTTGTCTCGCTTGGCAACCCCCGGGTCCTAGTGCCCCTCTCTTTGTTCCTCACTTACCTCACTGGGCATCCCATAGTTCCTCAAGTTCCTGACTTGCCTCGGGTGGCAGCTGCCAGGTCTTAGAGCCCACCCCGTTTCTCACATTCTTCACCTGGCAGGCTGCAGGTCCTAGTGCCCCCATAGTTTCTTGCTTGCCTCGCCTTGTGGCTTGTGGGTCCTACCACCTTTCATAGTTCTTTGCTTGCCTTGCCCAGCTTCCCCAAGGTCCTCTTTTGCCTCACCAAGCGGCCTGTGGATCTTAGTGCCCCCCTGTTGTTATTTGCGTTGCCCACGGCCCTCAGGTCGTAGTGCTCCAAAGGTCTTTGATTGCCTCGCCTGGTGTCCTGTGGGTTATAGTGCTCCCTCACTGCTCCCCTTGCCCCAAGACCCAACAGGTCATAGTGTCCCCCCAGTTCTTTAATTGCCTTGCCCGTGGCACGTGGATCCTAGTGCCTGAGAGGTTCTCAATTGGCTCACCTGATACTAGTACACCTTATACCCTTACTTGCCTCACCTGGGGGCCTGAAGGTCCCCTCAATTTCCTGACAATTTCCTGTCTCTCCTGGCGGCCTATGGGTCCTAATGTCCCCCTCAGTCCCTCACTTGCTCCACCCAGAGGCCTGTGGGTCCTAGTGCCTCCTAAGTTCCTTGCATGCCTTGCCTGTGCCCCTATGGTCCTAGTACCCCATGTTCCTCACTCGCCTCTCCCTACAGTCCTAGATCCTCATGAAGAGCTGCTAAGGGTAGCGTTGGTTGTCCCGAGCATGTACCTCCCAAACACCGAGAGGCGTTTTTCTTTGACACACAGCAATGTCACACGTGGGTGTAGCCTTCCTTAAAGGCTGTGCTAATTAAGATGTGGATGTTTGGATGATTACAGGCTGCCCCTCCTGTGCAATTCCAAGCACCGCGAAGGAGATGGGGGCTGTACTCTGGCCTTGGTGATGGGGGGGAGGGGCTTTCCACGATAAAGGTCATTCAGATCATCAGCCAGGGTTACGTCAAAAGACAGACCTGGAGTCACTGATTCTGTTCCAGTGTGCTACATTAAATGAGATAAGTCACCGTAAGTTGTC